GCAAGTGTCGTGAGGTCCTGTCTCAGTGGTGTATGAGACAATAAGAGATTGTCTATCTATCTATCTATCTATCTATCTATCTATCTATCTATCTATCTATCTATTATCTACTCTATCTATCTATCTATCTATCTAATCTATCTATCTATCTATCTAATCTATCTATCTCTATCTATCGATGTCATGTCTGTCTGTCTGTCTGTCTGTCTGTCTGTCTGTCGGTCGGTCGGTCGGTCGGTTCGGTCGGCCGCGTCGGTCGGTCGGTCGGTTCGGTCGTCGGTCGGTCGGTTCGCGGTTCGGTCGGTCCGGTCGGTCGGTCGGTCGGTCGGTCGGTCGTGTCGGTCGGTCGGAGGTCCTGTCGGTCGGTGGTCGGTCGGTCGGTCAATCGGTCGTCGTCGGTCGGTCGGTCAGGTCGGTCGGTCGGTCGGTCGGTCGGTCCGGTCGGTCGGTCGGTCGGTCGGTCGGTCGGTCGGGTCGGTCGGTCGGTCGGTCGGTCGGTCGGTCGGTCGGTCGGTCGGTCGGTCGGTCGGTCGGTCGGTCGGTCGGTCGGTCGGTCGGTCGGTCGTCGTCGGTCGGTCGGTTCGGTCGGTCGGTCGGTCGTCGTCGGTCGGTCGGTCGGTCGGTCGGGTCGGTCGGTCGGTCGGTCGGTTCGGTCGGTCGGTCGGTCGGTCGGTCGGTCGTCGGTCGGTCCGGTCGGTCGGTCGGTCGGTCGGTCGGTCGGTCGGTCGGTCGGTCGGTCGGTCGGTCGGTCGGTCGGTCGGTCGGTCGGTCGGTCGGTCGGTCGGTCGGTCGGGGTCGGTCGGGTCGGTCGGTCGGTCGGTCGGTCGGTCGGTCGGTCGGTCGGTGGTCGGTCGGTCGGTCGGTCGGTCGGTCGTCGGTCGGTCGGTCGGTCGGCGGTCGGTCGGTCGGTCGGTCGGTCGGTCGGTCGGTCGGTCGGTCGGTCGGTCGGTCGTCGGTCGGTCGGTCGGTCGGTCGGTCGGTCGTCGTCGGTCGGTCGGTCGGTCGGTCGGTCGGTCGGTCGGTCGGTCGGTCGGTCGGTCGGTCGGTCGGTCGGTCGGTCGGTCTGTCTGTCTGTCTGTCTGTCTGTCTGTCTGTCTGTCTGTCTGTCTGTCTGTCTGTCTGTCTGTCTGTCTGTCTGTCTGTCTGTCTGTCTGTCTGTCTGTCTGTCTGTCTTTTCTTTCTTTCTAACTGCCTGCCTGCCTGCCTGCCTGTCGGTCGGTCTGTCTGTCTGTCTGTCTGTCTGTCTGTCTGTCTGTCTGTCTGTCTGTCTTTTCTTTCTTTCTAACTGCCTGCCTGCCTGCCGGTCGGTAGGTCTGTCTATCATGCGCGATCCCACACCAAAAGAAAAAAAGCATTGGGTGGGGGATAGCTGCTCTAACTATTCATTGATTCGTTTCATCCGTCCTTATTATTGTAGCTTGTTTGCCACTGTGTCTCTATATCCATATGTCTTCCACTGTTCTTTCAGTCTACTCGTGCACCCACCATCTCTCTCTCTCTCTCTCTCTCTCTCTCTCTCTCTCTCTCTCTCTCTCTCTCTCTCTCTCTCTCTCTCTCACTCTCACTCTCTCTCTCTCTCCCTCCCTCCCTCTTCTCTGTCTCTCATATGTTCACCTGTGTACTTTGCAGGTTCCTGTGTTCGTTTTCCCCCTTGATGTGTTTGTCTGGCTACCTACACAGCCCGTCCCTCTGTGCATATTTTAGACACGTTGCTACGCTAGTTCCAATATAATTATTTAAGTAACTAGGTCGTGCTGATTTTATTGTCAGTGACTACTATCGTTTGCCTTCTATACATTCCACTGACCAATATAATTAACTAATTTACAGTACTGCTTCTACTGCTGATGTGGTTGATAATAATGCGTCTGCTCCTGTCACTATTACTACTGCTGCTGATGTTACTGTTGCTGTAACTACTACTTCTGTTTTGACTAATACTATTACTGTCGTGGCTACTACTCTTTCTCATCTACTACTACTACTACTGCTGCTGCTGCTGCTACTACTACTACTACTACTACTACTACTACTACTACTACTACTACTACTACTACTACTGCTACTACTACCACTACTGCTGCTACTACTACTACTACTACTACTACTACTACTACTACTACTACTACTATACTACTACTACTACTACTTCTACTACTACGACTACTAGTACTGCTGCTGCTTCTACTACTACCACTATTGTTTCTCGACTTCAGACCATCTCGCCACTAATAATAATCATTAATGCGCTGTCTCTTCGGTAAAAGTTGTTTGCAGTGTTCATCTGTGTGTCGTCCTGGTTGTTCGCTACAACATATTGCTGCTGTTTTAAAAATATTCCCCTTTTTACTGGTTATGTGACAAAATTCAATGTTACCCCCAATAGGAATTTTTGCTCTAGTGTAGCTAAATTATAACAATGCATTATTATTTCTGTAATTATCTCCTCACTTGTCAGCGTCTGTATTATAAACTTGGCAAAGGCGCTTCGTAATACCGGGGTGCCGGGTTCGATCCCTGATGCGGACGATTTGTTTTACATTGGTTTCGACAGTGTTACCGATAGCTGAACTGTCAAGGAGGAAATGGCGAAACTACTGAACGTAAAATTCGCCTAGAAAAAAAAAAAAAAACACCTACAGCACGCTGCGGTTGGTTTTGCAGAGTTCTGTAAACGATACACAACGAACTTTTATCTCTGGTCTAACTCTTCGTCAGTACCTTTGTATTTTATTTTATTTCCGTTTTCTAGACGATATATTTTTATGTTTTATTCAAATATCAGGGGGAAAAGAGCATCTATGACAGTCAGAAGCACAGACACAAAGACACCAATGCTGTGTGCATTTTATAGGATGGGTGGGGATTGTGAAGTCGCTTAAGCCTGTTTTAAGTGCGCAGTTGTAAAGTTAATAATTCCTATTATTGCAAGTAAATATAATTGTGTTTACGGTAATATGAAATGTATAAAGAAACTTTGTAGAGGGTGAGGTGCTTAGCCCTATTTACAGTTCTCTAGATGGGAGAGCAAGGTGTCTGATCTTCCATGTTCTTTCGCTCTTGACTGTGGTTGGTATAGACTATCGTTATACCTCTCTGTCCCCCTTCTACAATGCGTGGCTAGATAACGGCTCATTTTCCCCCATATAATGAGCGACTAGTGTCGCCCCCTAGTGCAAAACGTTCCCGGAAAGCAGCAGGTATTGCTTTTCATGGTCCTGAATGTTATCAGTATCAATCACTGAATTGGAACTACCTTAACAGCATCGCCAGATACCTTTATTATTTAGGCACCCATTTATATACCAGCGTCCTCCGTTGGTGTCCACACAGGAACTACACTGTTATCTGACCAGGATCAAATAGAGACTGTAAACTTGAAGACCACAAAGAATGTTTACTGAGTATCATAGAGTCAATCTAGATCTTCCAGATAATGCCAGGTGACCGAATTGCTATTAACTACACTATTAAGTAGATAGATCTAATATCCAATGACATTGCCTATTAAAGCTGAGATTTACCCTCGCTGGTATTGATGACACTCAGAGTAGATAAGGCCATGAAATGAAATCAGCGGAACATGGACAAAGGAAGCAATGAAAACTGAAGTAGCTTGGTTCGAGATTGCCACTTTAAAAAATGTCATCGTTTTGTTGATGGATCGAGTATAATGTACAGTAATCCGTGACCAGTTACATTTCTAAACTTTGGGGTGTGTTAGATAGGAAACACAAAAGTAACGAAACTTTTTCTGAAACTATCAATTATTTTAAGCATTGGGTGTTTCTTTAATTGAGGTAGACTTTTCTTAACGCCAGTGGGTCTCCCATGTGATTCCCACTCCTCATACAGCACAAGATAATATCGTGGTATGGAAAGACAGCAAAGATAGAAAGGTGCCTCTATGTATGTGTGGATGAGTTTCAATTAGTATTTCCTCTTAAGCCTAAGGCGGCGCATAAGGCAGAGGTCATGGCTTTCCCTGTCTGGCTGTTGGTTGCTATCTGTTTTAGGTCTTGGAGGATATTCATTAGGCCTATGGATGAGCCTTCCCTGATGATGATTCCAAGAAGAGTCTCTCGTGGTCTTTCTCGTTTTCTTTTCCCTCCGATGTCAATACAATGGCTTGACGGGGGAGTCTTGTCTTATCCATTCTGAGTGCATGGTCAGTGTAGTTGCAGTGGCGTTTCCTTAAAAAAATTTGATCATTATCTTGCTTAGTGTCTTATTTTGTTGTTGTTCGTATTGGTATCTGAAATCTGTCCAGTAAAGATTTTTTTTTCCAAGACATTTGTTTTCAACAGTGTCGAATTTTTTTTAGTGGGGGGGGGGAGGGGGTAGGGGGGGGGGGTGGGGGGGGGGGGGGGGGGGGGGGGGCCTACCGTTGCTTTCCAAATCTAGCATCCGTAAGTTAGCACTGGAATCACACAAGAGTTGAAGATCTTAATTTGCATGTGTTTGCAGAATGTCTTTGACTCCCAGATTTAAGACATTTTGTTAAAGGCAATGAATGCCAGTGCGATTCTAGATGCTCCTGGCAATGAATCCCCTATAGATGTCATCTTAATGCTTAGTGTGTGGCTATGTGTGAGTTCCCTCTTTTTAACAGTTTGTCTCTCAAAACGGCCACAGAACACCACCTGGGTAGCTTCTTGTCTGAATGTTATTGCAAAGCATTGTCGGCTGTGAAAACACCAGTAATCAACAGTAAAATGTGTATATTCAAAGGCGGATCTGTACCTACTTAGAGACACAAATTACCACCAGTAGCCTTTTATTAATTGCTCTAAAACATTACCAAATGTAAGTAATGAACTAATATCACAGCAGTCGAGACATTTCCATAGACGTTATGTCCTCGTCTTCAGCAACCAGGACGCTTTCAAAACAGAAAGAAAGCGTCAGTTGTTGTCTGATTGTATTTCTGTTTTGCCATGCCTTTCAGTTTTGAGCATTAAGTACGGCAGTCATGTTGTGTCATATTTGTTTATTTTTAGGTACCTCGGTGTGGCCAGTTCGTACCAAATCCTCGCAGACGAGGTGCGTCACAAACCGGACGTTGCTTGCTCCAATCTACAATTCTTACAGCCGCACCAGAGGGAGATCTGTAGCCACGACTTCAAACTGCTGGATGTCATTCGTAAGGGCGCTTCTATGGGGATTGAGGAGTGCCAGTTTCAGTTCCAAGACAGAAGATGGAATTGTACCACATACAATAACACCAGCGTTTTTGGACCTGTATTACATATCAGTAAGTTTATTTCATTTGTACAACCATCATCATCATACTCTTTATCTTGTACGGCCCCGTTGTGGGGAGGTAGAAGAATCGACCCACGGAACCTAAAAAAGCATGTCGCAACAGCCAACTTATTATGGGCGATTTCTTCGAAGTCTGAGTGTATCTAACTGAGAGACAACGAACCGTCTGCATACAAATAAGCCAGATGTGTAAAACTGATGTGCACGCAAAGCTAAAGTTCTGGAACAAGACTAAAATCCAGAAGTGGACACCCCCCCCCCCCCACCCCCCCCCCCCAAAAAAAAAACACGAAAAAAAACTTTCTACACAAGTTTTAAAGTCCGCGAGCGCTTACAAGAAAATATCGTCATCTTCATTTTCATCATCATCGTCATCATCATCATCATGAACTCGTTAACTATCAGGCAGCTGCTCCATGAAAAAAACCAGTCAGGTAGAAATACTGCCGTTAGGATGTTAGATAACAGGCCTTCGTATAACCTAGGCTACGACATATCATGTAGGCAGACCGGTCCCCGTCCTTATTACCTTACGCCCCCTGACTTCTTTTCCTCTTCTTCTTCACTTACTCTTCCTCTTGTACCGCTTCGGGTGTTGCTTCATGCGTCTTCTCAACCGCAGACATATCGTGCTGTTTTAGGGTTATCTTTTAATTGTGTAAGCCCCTCTCTCCTGTTGGTGAATGTCTTATATAGTATGGCGTCGTACGGAATTCTCTCCAAAGTCAAAAAAAAAAAACCCTCTTATGTGCTATCTGTGTATGTAATTCAGTATTCGTTCTGTACCGACTTTTTATCTTATGGCCTCATTCCTGACTTTATTTCTTCTGGTCACTTCTGCAGCCTCTCTCAGACATCGCATCTAACACTACTGCCTAGTTTGTTGTGAGTGACCATATCTGGAACTGGGAAAAGCGAATATATGCACTGAAGGAGATATTTCTGTTTGCTAATGGAAATAAACTCGGGGGGGGGGGGGGGGGGGGGGGTGGGGAGAGGGCAGTAGCTGTCACACTACTAGTCACAATATAATGCTTCCCAGACATTACCCCACCCATTTTGGACATTGTCTACTGCGGGCTCTCATGCGGGGGACCTGGGTTCGATCCCCTGTAAGGTGGGGAGTTTTTCTATCAGAAATTAAACATCCTAACCTTCACAGTCTGTGGCGACAGCACTAGCCGCGCGGTTACTATATACTCAGGCTCACGATACCCTGTCTACAACGCCCTAATTGCGGTTTCGCAGTTGACCAGATGTTTTGTGTTCGGATCAGCACATTGACATATGTTTTATAATTGATCAGTCTATGATATATTGCAAGTAACGTTCTTTGAAGTAACGGTGGGTGACATGAGAAGGGCATGGCCCATCCAGTACCGACTGGCCAATACAAATATTAGTCTAGTATCAAATGAAACAACCTAACCTGTACAGTCTGTGGCGACAGCGCTAGCCGTGTGGCTAGAAGACCTCAGGCTCACGACCCCGCGCCTTCACCGCCCTAAAAATGTAGTAAATATATACATGAGTGAGTTTTTGACAGTCTAGTATGTTATGGCCTATTCGTCACTTGCTTGAAAAGGGACCTTTGTGTACTTTTTTTTTTAAAATTGTTACTCTTTTAAAAAAAACAAAAAAACTTAGAATATTTATATTTCGGCATTCGAATTTGACTACCTTATTATGTAAGATCTTTCTTAGTATAAAAAAAGATACGTATTTAAAATATAGTTTCTGTGGGCAGTGTCAAGTATCTTATATTTGTTAAAAATACTTATCGAATGTATGGATGATTCAACGGTACTTATTTCAGTGAGAGCTCTAAATCTCTAAACTCAAATATTCATGTTTTACCATTCATTTCTTTTATTTAAGGGAAAATGGAAATATGAACTGGGCAATGAACTCGCGTAGTTCATCTAACACAACATCAAAGGCCCTTTCAACTCTCAAAGAGGTGTAGAAATCCCTACATCGATTGTCCTCTTCTACGCGTCTGCCTTCTGTTCGGACTCCGTTCATCTTCCTTTCAGATGCAATTACAAAGAGCAAATTTAGGTTTCATTCATTGTAGCTGGATCAAAGATCTAAGCAGAAGAGCTCTAAATGTTGAGAACCTTGCGCACATATCCTCCGCAAATAATGGGCCCTGGGATGTAGAGAGTGTCTCAAGAGGGTTTTATACCCAATGTCAATCGTATTATGTCCAGCGGACCCTTTGAAAAATTGTCGGTAAACGAACAGCACGAGTTACTGCCCATTGGAAGGAAGTTCGTTTTCCAGTATTCAGGTGTTAAAATATGAGTCAGGTTAACTCAAACCCTTTTAGCAGCACTTGTGAGCCACTTGTAAGGTATAAACATACACCAACGTTTGCCCAGAAACCGATTATCTGCACTGGATTTCAAAGCCTGGGAGATGCTGAAGTTTTAGGAAAGATACCTTGTGTGTGTGCCCACCCAAACATCATCGGGAGTAGAGTAGGGGGAGAGCAGAATAAAATGTTATTTTCAACAAGGGAGGTAATGCGATAGAGGGTCTAGTGTAGGAGCCTGAATCAATGCAAGGATGCCTGTTTGCTCTTGTTATAGTGGAGTCGCTTGTTTCTAGTGAAGTCGTGGGAGTTTGACGAAATTTCAAACATCAAAAGAAGTCTCCAGGGCGATAGAGTTCGACATTGCTATTTAAAAAAAAAAAAAGAAAATACCCACCTACTAAGCTGCACAAAGAATGCGTGATTGGAAATTCAAAGTGTTATGGATTGTTTTAAATAGATACAAATTATATGGCTTACCCTATCTCTCCAACCCAGTAAGACTATAAGTTATATCCTAACTATCCCGTGCCCCAACTTAGCTGTCACACCATTAATCAGGATTTCTACGATTTGCAGCCCAGGGATTCTTATAAGATAAGTGGCTCTTTGGGTCACTTTGTGTTAATCGCTCAATATGTAGTCCTGGCAGACGGAGTTCAGTTTCACTGCTCTACCCTGCAAGTACATCCTTCTACAGTTCCTGCCTTGGTAACCCTCGCGGCCCCAACCCTGGCGGCCCCAACCCTACGGCCGAACAGGGTTTTACTGAATTTGTACATGTAAGATTCTCATCCTTGGGGTGAATCACGTGGACTGCAATCGTAGAGGGGACACAGGGCAACAACCTATCCTATGTCCTTAGCAATACGATGTGGCCGTTACATATGTTTTGACTTTAACGTTTTCGGAGGTTGAAGGGGATATTTGGGGTCTGCCCTGGTCTGCCATTCAAATATTTTTTTAATCTCAGGTCAGGTTAGTAGCAGCAAGGAGGTGACACACTGATCGACCGATTGACTTACTCTGCAATTAATTTTCACACATATAGACTGGACCACCTGTTAGTAATATAATTGTTAAACAGGTGAACCAGGTATCTGTGATTTGCTGCTGTATGACTTTCATCTTTGAGGTGTTATCTTACAGACAGAAAGGTGAGACTTGCTTACCGATTTACCATAAAAGACTTGTGTGTGTCGTCGTCACTAGTGCCCCAGTCATAACATTTTTTTTTTTTTTTAAATTAAACGGGATATCAAAGGTTTGCATTGTTGGTCTGCCCTTTAGAGTAAGATAACTGATGAATCACGGAATGATGACATTTTCTGGTAGCAGCTTGGAGAATTCTTCTTCTGTGAGCTTGGAGAATGCAAAATAGGAAAACGCTAAAACGTTTGCATAAAACAGCAAGTCCGTATCATCACAGAACAGCACGGCACACCAGGGTAAACTTTGGATTTGGTCCTACAGGTGACATAACTGTAACCTTAGAAGCTGACAGGGATTGCTGGATTTTGTCCTGTTGGATTAGCATCAAGCCTGCGAGTTTCTCGAAGTGAAGGGTTGTCAGTCTTTGAGGCTATGGCCATGAGGAGGTGTTGGGTGGTAGGTTAGTCTTCATAATTAAATGCGGGTTAAAAGAAGAACTAACTATCCAAGATTAACTGCGTTTAGTAATGTTCGAGTAAGATTCAGCAGTGACTGGTTTCTGTTCTTGTTAGATCGAATCCTAATCGGAACCCACAAAATAAGCCCATTGTCCACTCAATAGCATGTTGAAATAGGCGACTAATTGGGGTGTTTTTTTCAGAGTGCATCTACATGAGACGCAAGAAACCTAATCTCCCTACGAATAAGCCAGATATGTAAAACGGATGGGCATGCAAAACTCCGGATCAAACCAATTCCCCCCCCCCCCCCTCCACCCAAAAAAAAATTCCAGGAATGGAAGAACAACCAGAACTGTCCGCCGAACTTCACGTTGAAAAGAATAAAGAAAGAAAGGCTCAGACGAAACTCAACTGATTTAATATCGCGCCGCGTTTTGACTGATATCGACGGAGAATAGTGGATCAAGCATAACGCTGCAGGGCGGCACTTCTCAAACAATTTTTGTCTCGGCACTCTGGTCAGACATACCCCCCCCCCCCCCCCCCCCCCCCCCCCCCCCCGCTGCACACCTACCCTTAAAGCTATTTGAATACCTAAGAAAATAAGGTGGGGGGGGGGGGGGCTGCAAATTTAATGCGATAAGTGAAACTGTTTAGATGAATGTTTCATTATTTCCTTTATGTTTATGGGCAATTTAGTTATTTGTACCATCAGATCACTTTAAGGTTATTCAAGCATCTTTTGAAAATCCACTGCAACCTTGTCAATAGCATTGTCTTCTGAAAACAACTGCATCCAGAAATCTTCTTGGCTTCCATTGTAGTATTTCTGTCTTCGCGGTACCCCTGGGTGTCGCGGCACCTACTTTGGGAACCGATGATTTAGGGGATCCCAAAGATTTTGATCCACGCATCTGGTGTAATTATTTTAACATTCGCTCTCAGGTCGACCTAGCCTAGAATAGGTTCAAGAAAATATCAGGGGAATTATCTTCTTTTTCTTTGCGTTTGGTTTCGTATGCTCAGATCAGACCATCAGGTGGGTTGCCTTTATGAACT